GTGTGTGCGCGCGCGTGTGTGTGTGTATGTGTGTGTGTATACGTGTGTACGTTCGCGTGCGTACGTGCACGTGCGCGTGTATGTACCCTTACTTCTCGGTTTTTATACCTACCTCTCACAATCTATCTCTTACTATCTACTTCTTATTGCCTACCTCATACTACATATCTTTTATCACTTACTGTTACTTTTATTACTAACTGCTACCTACTACTACTCTACTACCTACTACTACTCTACCACCTACCTATTACTGCCTACCTACATACTACATTATTACTACATATTTCTTACTATCTATCACATAATACTACCTTACTACATATCTCTTATTACCTCTCTCTACTCTACTTTACTACCTCCTTCTAACTACCTTCTTATAATTACCTATCTCTTATTACCTGACTCCTACCACTACCTTACTACATATTTCTTACTACTTGACTCCTACCACTACCTTACTACCTTTCTCTTAATACCTACCTATGACTATCTCTCTATTGCTATTTATCTCTTACTTCTACCTCGCTACCTATTACTTACTACCTACCTCTTACTACCTATCTATTACTACCTATCTATTACTGCTAGGTTGATCCTCCGCATACTGTGTGATGACACCATCTCTCTGTACAAGGTGAACCGTCAGTTCGGTGCGCCCCTGCACGACACACGACACTTGCTCACTGTCGCCCGACAGCTGAACCTTGACGTCATTGTGGTCAGGTAGGTGGCGCCATAGACGCGACGATAGGGTTAGCGTTAGGTTTGGGGTTAGTGATAGGGTTAGGGTTAGGATAAGGGTTAGGGTTAGGGCTAGGGTTTGTGTTAGGGTTAGGGCTAGGGTTTGTGTTAGGGTTAGGGTTAGGGTTAGCGTTAGGTTTGGGGTTAGTGATAGGGTACGTTAGGGTTAGGGTTAGGTTTAGGGTGAGGGTTAGGTTTAGCGTTAGGTTTGGGGTTATAATGATAGGGTTAGGGCTAGGGTTAGGGTTAGGGTTAGGGTATAGGCTAGGGTTAAGTTTGGGTTAGGGTTAGGGTTAGGGTTAGGTTTGTGTTAGGGTTAAGAGTCAGGCTTTGTTTTACGATTAGGGTTAGTGTTAGGGTTAGTGTTATGGTTAGGGATAGGGTTAGGGACTTAGGGTTAGGGTTAACGATAAGGCTAGGGTTTGTGTTAGGGTTATCGTTAGGGTTAGTGTTATGGTTAGGGTTAGGGTTAGGGTTAGTGTTATATACCCTCACATCCGACCCTCAGTGCTTGGTAGTAACTACCATCATGGCTAAGCTACTATCTCACCTCGCCTGTCTATTCCCACAGCTTCCACGTCGGCAGCAGCTGCCCCGATGCTGCCGCATGGAGCGTTGCCATTCGCAACGCCAAACGCGTCTTCGAAGAGGGCGCTGAGATTGGCTTCTCCTTCTCGCTGCTGGACATCGGCGGAGGTTTCCCCGGCGAGCCGACAGCACGCATACAGTTCGACGACGTAAGGAAAGACACCATTTTCTCTGCGCAGCGGCGGCGGTGACGGTGATAGGGTGCTACTGCAATATCTATAAAAAAAACCTAATTACAGTAGAAATCCGAACATCCGGACTGCTCGGGGATTGGGTCGGTCCGGACTTTCGGATTTTCCGGATTCTCGGGCAGTACTTCTAAAATTCAAATTTAAAGAAGAATAAAAAAGAGATGAACAGGTAGATTTTGATAGTTTATTCATTAGCAAATGCAGCATGCATCATTTATTAAAACGAGCAGTTTTAAAGAAAGATAAAGTCAACACTTGACAAAAATGTTTGCATAAAAATTGTTCACTACAGAAAGAGCGTGTAATGCTTGAAAAGAGAGCTTTCAAAAAGCCCCGGTTCTCGAGTGGACCGGAAAACCGGCATCCAGATTTTTTGACTTTTACTGTACTTTATAGATGGCGGGCGGGAGCGAGAGGCGGGTGGAGGAGCAATCACAACTGCACTCTGCAATTATTCTATATGGAGGTCCTGTGTTTAATGAAGATTCGAGTGTTGTAGAAGTTTTATATATTTGCGCTGCAATCGTATTTTCTCTATAAACGTGTTGTTTTTAACATAATGCTTAACGTAATGTTTTTTTTAAATATATTGGCTGGTTTATATATTATTTAAAATGTATTTTTTAGTTGCATTTGTGTATTGTGTTTTTTTCTCTCATATAATTACGTTGTATTTCTGTTTTACATCTATGTAATAATATTTTCCTGCTTGTGCGTTGTGTTTTCGTTGCAGCATCTGTATATTAATTTTTCTTTGTCGTAGATCTGTGACGCTGTCAGCGCTGCACTGGAGAAACATTTTCCTGCCGACAGAGGTGTGCGTGTGATCGCCGAACCGAGCCGATACATGGTCGGCTCAGCTCTGACTATGGTCGTCAACGTCATTGCCAAGAGTACTGTGTTTTGCGGCAACGATGGTACGGTTAGAGTTGTAGCTAGTAACGGGTAGCAAACAGTGTGTGTATGTTGTTGTTGTTGTTGTTGTTGTTGTTGTTGTTGTTGTTGTTGTTGTTGTTGTTGTTGTTGTTTGGAGGTGTATGTGTGTGTCTGTGTGTGTAGAGAGGGGTATGTGTGTGTGTGTGTGTGTGTGTGTGTGTGTG